AAGAAAATATACACTACACAGTAATTAGCAGATTAGTTAAATACAATAAGAACTGTATTAAAGCCCATGACTAACAAGAAATTTCCCAGCTCAAGCAGCCAATGAATATGATCAGTTTTCACATCAAACTAGAGTATTTCTGGGGCACTGATTAGCATCAGGATGAAATCAGTAGTGCTACAATAGTAAAAGAGGCACAGAACCAGGACCCCTTTTTATACAAAGGATTATGAAAGGAGTAAAAAAATCATGGAAAAGTGTAAGCATATGTAATTGTTTAATTGAGCTAAAAGAGGTTTAAAGGATTAAGAATAACTACTTTTTTCAATCAGAAAAGCATCAGATGTTATTTATTCCTTCATCTGGAAACTGGAGACCAGTTGTTTGGATGTCAGCTTTAGAAAAAATCATTGTATGATAGTTAAAATGCCCACTGGAAAAGCACAGTTCAATTAAGCATAGTCTGCACAGATCAGTCAGAGAAGGTCATAGTTTAGTGACGCGCAGGAGTACTGTGAAGATGTTATTGCGAAGACTGATGAGAGGAATTCAGTAGATTTATGATACCCTGATTTGACAGTGCCCTGCCTTCAGAAATTAATGTATATAGGACAGTGTTAGGACATAAGGGGTAACTCAAACTGCTACTTAAAAATAAGAGGTGGAAAAAATAGATTTAAAAGCTTGCTTTTTCACGTTGTCATGGAAAGAATTATGTAGGCCTAAATAGAATGTCTACTACACCCCTATTATTTGGTATAGGACAAGGATACTGATTTTTTCCTTTTAAATCGCAAATTAATTTCAAGGTTGTCATATTATCTATATGAATCAGTGGATGACAACCAAAGTTTAGTTTACTCAAAAGTAAACCCATATGAAGAATCTAGCATGCATATACCTTGCATAAGTAGTGCCATTCAGAAATAAGGTGTGAAAAATCCCTGAGCAGTGCCCTTCTGTGTATTGCTAAGGAGAATATCACATACTACCCAAATTTTGAAACACAATGCACATTACCACCTGGGCAACCAGTCCTAACAGGAAAATAATACAACTTTGTGCCATGCCAAAACATGAGGTCTTTACCAAGCCTTTGTTTGGACAAATTTGTTGCGTAGGCCTACATTCAGCAGCTTTTTCAATGCTTACCTGGAAGATACAGCAGTGTAAAATTATTTTCCATAAATTCTGTTGGTGCCTCCTATGGATCAAAAAGCTTCCTATACAAATATTAAGCTATCCAACACAACTTAGAAGAAGAGATCTAGAACAGAATAGATACAAGTTTTTGGTTATCACAGGGAAGGTGTCACCTTCTGTGAAATGCAGCGAATTCTCAGTGTAATTGCTGAGGACCTCTACCAGATCCACATTTGAAGTTCTTTTAAGATTTCCCTGTAACTGAAACTTGTGTCATCACTGAAGTATTTAAGTTACATTAAAAAGAAAATTGACTTTTTCCTAGATGAGATTTGAGACAGTATAAAGTAATCAGAATTATGAAAAATAGTGTAAAAGACCAAGTAAAACTGAGTCAAAATTCTCATTCTGAGAATCAGAAATTATGGGTGCAAGAGATAAGCCTGATGGGCCAGTATCACAAGATTCTTAGAATGAATTAAAACCTTCATTTGTTTTTTTTTTCTGAACTTTTATTTCCCCTTGATCTGGCCCAAAGGAAATTTTTTTCCCTAGATTTGTGAAAAGCATTTTCTAGAAGAGAGACAGTCTGCCTGTTCTGGTTCATTCCTTAAAAGATGCTGTGGTCCTTGGAGCTTTCAGCCCTGCTGTAGGTACTGTACGCACAGAGGGATCCTTCCCCAGTGAACTCGAGATTTCAGACCCTAACATGCTTTACTCTGCTTCACTGCATGTAATGTATAAACACTAGTCAGTACCCTGAATGCTATGTGCTTCTGAAAACTGAGATTTACAGATGGTAAAGAAACTGATCTGGCTTAGTTAGTGAGACAGTCTTGTAGAAGCTAAAGGAACCAGCACAGGTGGAGTGACACCCCATCTGATTATTTTTGAACAATGGGAAAGATGTAGTTCAGGCGTGGACAATCACTCCAGCTCATTATTATTTTAACCAAGCCATTTTTATGTAAGGGTATTAAAACAGAACCAAGTTACCATGGAAACTGATTGAAGCAGAGACTTACTGTAAATTCTTTTCTAGACAAGGGTAACAGGACTGACAGGTGGGCTGTAAAAGGAATATGAGTGTAATATAGAGTTAGGCATGATAGCCTGTTTTCTCTTCCTAAAAGTGTGTCTTTACAGCTCTGTTTTATCTCTACTATTTTCTACGGTGATATACTGAACGTATTTTGAAAGAAGCTCCACCCAAATGAACGTTTTATTTTGTCATAATCCTTTTTGCAAGGGGATGTACATGCCCTGGGGAAAAGAGCTGAAGGGCAGGGCACTCCACTTACTTTCCCAAACTATTATGTCTTGCCAGAATCATCAGGGAGGAAGAGCTATCACTCAGGAAACGCATTTGCATGAGGTGCCCTTTGCTGCCAATGTTTATATTTTGCCTCTGAAAAATGCTCTAGGTACATTCACACCGTAGCACAGTGCTCTTCTTGTATGATATGAAAGAAAGTAGCCAGGGAATAAAGTCTTTTTAGTGAAGAAATGCCCCATTTCCCTTTCTCAAAAATGTAGAAAATATACCTATTTGCTGCAATCCTATTCAAAGTCAAAATGATTTAACTCTGTAAATAACTTTCTTAGTCTGATGGATATCGGTAAGAATAACAGAGATTAGAGTACACAGCTCCCAAAATACAGTGCCAGAGATGTAAGAAGGGAAATGGGCAGAGAACGAATGACACCAGAGCATGTACCTTTTCCACTTGGAATAGTTAGCTGTCAGCACTGGAAAACATTTCAGAATATGAATATGCAGTATTTTTTTTACATCTGTGCCGGATGTTTCTACCTGCTGTGCTTAATTTCAGAATCTTATGTTATCATTAGAGAAAAATAGTTCTCTTTTCCAGTATAATTTTCTACCAAAAGGAAGGCGGGAGAATTGGGGGGGATCCTTACTTGAACTCATCCCGATATTCTTCTAGCCTGAAGTTTCTGCTTCTTGGTTCCAGCTTCCAGCTGGAGCTGTGTTTGTACATGCCCTCCTGACATAAGCCATAAAGCAGTTTTCCTCTGGATTTTAAGAGGTTTGCTTGTCATCAACAATCATAGTTGGTCCCAGTGCACTAGAATCACAATAGGTAGTCACCTTTTCCAGCATGTTTGCCTTACAGCTAAAGGTAATGGCAACAGCTGGTTTTGTTGACAAAAGTAAATATACTTCTCACCTTCAGTTTCTGCCTTCCTCAGCAATGTGGGGGTGGGCACATGACAGATGGTTCTTCCTAGCTAATCACAGTGTCTGGTGTTTGGCATGAATTTCCAGGCAAATAGAATGCTTTTCATTTAATATCCTCCCTGTGAAAAGCTGGACACACTCATAAAATGTGGTATGCTCTAAGGAAACACATACTACATGTTAAAGCATATAAAGACGTGACCAGTCACAGAAATCTGCAGTAAATAATGCACAACCTAACTGGTACTTGTCATAATTTTAATGACTGTGCTTATATGTAACACTTTTAGCCAGCGAGACAAAGAGAAACATGGGGCCAAATTCTGCTCGTTTTAGCCTAAGTTCATCTTGGATTCAAGGCTCTGTCCACCATACTTTGTGTGTCTGAGCCACTGAAGGCTGCCAGTCCAGGTTCAGTGGCAGGCAGGCTTCTGCAGAGGCTTGTGCAGTTCTTGGGATTGAACACTCAAGATCTCCATGGTAGAGATAGGGTAGAACCATTTTCATCATTTAAAAGAAGCCACTTTAAGTATTTCTATGCTTTTTGTCTTCATTCTGACATAAATCCTACTACAAAAGGGCTAACAAATAGGGCTGTTGTGTTTCTCAAGCAAATAAATTCCCCAGGAATGTAGAAATCAATTTAAAGATAATGGCTTTCATTTTAGAAAATACGTCCCAAGAGTCTACAGTTGAGTTCAGTTAAAATTCATTAGTACCATTATACATTCCCAAATTTTGATTGTTTTTCATACCTGCTTGTATGACAAAATTATGTCTTTTCATCATCATCATGATCAAATTCCCCATACAGGCATTTATAACTATAATGGACTTAATTAAGGAAGTCAGAGGATTACAAATGAGAATGTTAGGAATAGCTAAGTTCATAAAAGAGAACAATATAGTTTTTATTTACAAACTCATGCCTAAAGACATGATTGTTCAAAAGCAAAGGTGCAAAAAAGAGGCACAAGAGCTGGAGAAGGGACTGTTAAGAGTTGGGGAAAAGCCAGGAAATAGGTTCTGGAATTAAAACAAGAAAAAACAACAAAAAAACCAAAACCAAAACAACCGAACAACCCATGAAAGAGTGACAAAAGAGAAAAGGAAACAGACAAACCTCCTTTAGATTGCAATTCAGAAAACTGCCATTTACAGTATAGGGGAATTTCTTGTAAGCCTGATCAGAATTCTGTGAAAATCACTGAACGCTGCAGTGTCTCTGATAGATACCTTGTTATAAACTTCAAGATCAGCTCTAAAAGAAAACAGATAAATGCTGCAACTAGTTTTTGGCACTTCTAAACATGGCTGGTCACTCTGAAGGTTTTGCTTGGGTTTCTAAAGGACAACGTGCCAAACACTAGTAGTTTCTGTTTCTCATAAGCCCACGTTTTGTGTTTTAAGACACATTATTTCTATGTGTTTGTATTGCCACATTCTTTTCAGAAAAAAAAAATAATTACATGAATGGATTATGTGCATGGATTTAAGTGGTTACCAATATAAAAATAAGGCTGCAAACTTATTACATCAGAACTTGACCCCAGGTCTCTTATTGTTCTTTCTCTGTTTTCATTGAAGACAAAAAGAAGAGTAATAAATGTTTTTTGTTTACCCATCTGTAACTCTCAGGTATTTGTCAATGCAGGTTTATCAATATACAGTCGCACTGGTTTCGTATGTGACAAGGAGGCAAGAAAACAGTGGAGAATGGCAGTAGAGATGATGCAGATAAGCAAGAAAGAAAAATTAAGGACAAAAAGTTTCTGAAATATCAGGTAAGGAATTCAGGTGATTCTGTATAAAGTGTGAGATGTGTAAAGACTCATGTAGAATAGCTTATGCTTACCTTGCCCCTCCCTACTGTTTCTGAGAATTACCGCTTTGTGTGTCTATGAACATATGTATGCACACACACATACCCTACTCCTACCCACTCACACAATAAATCTCCTTTTTGAGCAAAATTGCCATTACCGTCAGTGCAGATATTTACTACACTGGTATTTGACATATCTTTGAATGAAATCCATTTTCTGTATTTCATTTTGTTTAAATAAAATATTGTACTATTTCTTAAGAGAAAACCAAACAAGCAATACTTTTCCAAAGGAGTAAAAGACAGTTGTGCTATGTGGTTTACTGTTCTTTCTCAACAAATCAGTTCTAAGTTCTCAAACCTGACATTATCATAGCCTGGTGCTGATCTCTTGGGGCATTACACACGCGCTGCAGAAAAGTATCATGTGTTATGACCTGCCTCTTCCGTCTTAGATTGGTGACAGATGGAAAGGTCATTTGGAGCTTCAGCACACTTCTATTTCCTAAGCCTGGGTAGAGAAGAGTAAAAATGAATTTACTAAAGAGCAAATCTGGAAGAACAGTGAGCAACAATTCATCCTTTGCTCCTCTCCTCTGCTGCTTTGGTGAAAAGTTGCTGTACCACTTGTAGTGACATAGTGAGAGCAGTAAATGCAATGGGGACTCTATGTTCCCTGCAGCCTAAAACAAGCTGAGAAGCTAAGCTAACTGTATGTTACATGATGCAATTGCTCACGAGAGAAACATTTCCTTAATTCCTTAGGTAGACTTACTTCTAGAATAGACTGAATTGTATTTTTGCCACAAGCATAAGATGGAAAGAAATACTCTTACTTAGAAATTGCATATCTGTCATTTGCCTGTCTGTCTGTTTAATACTTGCCTCTCCTTCCACTCATAAAACTAAAGCTAATGCGAGATGCTCCTATACCAACACACGTCAACTGGTAAGAAATGCCGGCTTTCGCATTCCTATGTAATATCAGGTTATCACATCCATTTTGTACATATACAAATGAAAATCCCTTTAGAATTTAGCATTGTAGGCATACGTTTATAGAACCCATCTACAAACCTATGTTATGCTTATTTTTTAACTTTCATGGAACGGTATCTAATGCTTCCACACAGCATAGTTCAGATGATTGACTCCAAACCTGTAGAAATCCACTGCTGAAATAACACATTCTATGTATCCCCAGGACCGATACAGACATTAAAAACAAACAAACAACAAACTCATTATTACTGTTACATTGTATCAGTTATATATTGCGCAAGTCATGATAATGTAATATTGTGTTTATGCTAACTTTCTGAAGTTTGGTAAGCTTAGCACATTGAGGCATTCTGCCTGTTCCTTTGTAGGTTGTTGATTCTTGCAAAATGACGGCTGCTGCATTTATGTTAAAAAAAGGCTCAGAATGTCAGTAAGGATGCTTCTAATGGAAGCAGCAGAATAGTACAGCTAGAGTTTCTCTAGGACATGCCATATTCATCAGTTACAAACTTGGGAATGTCATTTTGTAAAAGCTGCATGATAAAAGATGCTGCGTGGTGTACAGCTGACTCTATTTGCCATATGGCATGTTATTATTTTGTGTTACCTTGGGGAGTGCTCTCGAAGTGAAAGAATAGAACACACACAAGGCATATAGAATAATAAACACAAATTGTATAGTTTTTAATTATAGCAATAAGGTCTGTAACTAAAATGGAGATGGAACTAAATATAAGAGTCGAATATGTGCTGTACTGCTCTCCAGCTACCAAAAAGCAATAAACTCCTATCAGGAATATTTAAAGAGAAGGAAGTTGCCAGCCAATTGCCAACCCTCAAAGTAGGTTGATTCAAAAGTTGGCAAATGCTATGTGCAGTGCTACACACATTACCATAATATGGGTTTACATCAAAAACACAGTTTTACATGGGGTAGGCTGGAGAAAACTTTTATATCAGTAATCTTTAAAAATGAAAATCCAGATGTACAGCTGTAATAAAACCATCAAATGAATAATTAGAACAATAAAGTGGGGGTACTATTTGCTAAAATCAACTAAAGAATCCTAAATTACTTGTGTCAATTTGATAGAGGATAAGTGAGCCGTTGACAGGGACTAAGAAATCCCAAATCAAGCAACATCTCCAAATTTACAAAAGCTTTACTTTTACAATACATCAGAATTGACAAGCAGATTGTTATTAATACAGCCAGAACTTAGCCAAGATTTAAGGAAAGTAGGTGCAATGGAAAAGTACTCTTTCATTGTGGCAATATTTGGCTGCACATTCAATTCTTCCCATGCCAGCAAACAGCTTCACCCCTTCCACCCTGTAGTGCCATCTTTGGAGGTGTAGCCTAACTCTTAAGCAAAGCTCAGCCAAAGTTAGATCATTCTTTGGGATCTATTATTCAGTCACAACTTAAATTTTAAATGACAAATTTTGTCATACCAAATGATAGAAATGTACAGACTTGCTGGTTTTGGGAATAGCTTGGCTCTAAGCTTCTCAGTCCATTAGATGAGGCATTTCATGATCTGTTACAGGAACAGAATATTTTAAAATTATTCATACTAATTGTGTAATACTTCAGATGACATCTTCAAAACTATCATCTACTCAAGTGTTCAGTTTGAGCAGCCAAAAAGTAGATCATTCCCTTTAGCCAGATCTTCAGCAGAAATAAATCAGAGAAAGTCCAGTAACTCTCAGCATTTCCTATTAATGGTTATGCATTTTACTTTTCTGTTCGTTTTTACCCGCTATTAGGATGATAATTTCCTTTTTTTTTTCTTTTTCTGTAAGACATCCAAGTGACTCAAAGTCATTTAAAGACAGCAGAACCTCACAGTAAAATGAGAAGAGGATCACAGCTGTGATCACAGCTTCACCCTCCTTGCACTCACTACCCAAACCCACTGGGTACAGTTTACCAGTCTCAAGGTTTGACAGTGCACTAGTTTACATTTGTAAATACTTGCAGCTCAGTGATGGCAGAACAGGTCAAACTGTTGTGCATTGCAAATTACTGCATCCGTTTTCATTTCTCAGCTAATGTTAATACCAACTCATGATTTGTTTTCCACTTTTATTATCAAAATCTATGAAGATTTCACACATTTCAGTTTAAATGCCACTCATGCTTATTCCACACCTAACATTCTCTTCAAGCCATAAAAAAGGCTGATGCAAAATGACTGATGTCACTAGATGAAAGTTATTATTTAATGAGAGATAAGAAGTAGGATAGAAGGGAGAAGTAGGGTGGGGTGGGGGAAGTCAGTTCTCGCTATCATACTCAAGGGTATCCTTCTCTTTTAAGTTAGCAGGAATCTTGAATATGTGTTAACTGACATCTCAAGTTTAAAGACTCTATGTTGTAAACATACCTGCTGAATTAGCAAACATTTGTCTATTACTATCTTCTTTAAAGGAAAGGTATTACTAGGGTAATATTTGTATACTTTTTTTTTCCTTCTGCGAATGTATTTAGTTCCATAATCATAGAACCATAGAATAGTTAGGGTTGGAAAGGACCTTAAGATCATCTAGTTCCAACACCCCCTGCCATGGGCAGGGACACCTCACACTAAACCATGCCACCCAAGGCTTCATCCAGCCTGGCCTTGAACACTGTCAGGGATGGAGCATTCACAACCTCCCTGGGCAGCCCATTCCAGTGCCTCACCACCCTAACAGTAAAGAATTTCTTCCTTATATCCAATCTAAACTTCCCCTGTTCAAGTTTGAACACTTTACACCTTGTCCTGTCACTGCAGTCCCTAATGAACAGTCCATCCCCAGGATCCTTATAGGCCCCCTTCAGACACTGGAAGGCTGCTATGAGGTCTCCACGCAGCCTTCTCTTCTCCAGGCTGAACAGCCCCAACTTTCTCAGCCTGTCTTCATACGGGAGGTGCTCCAGTCCCCTGATCATCCTCGTGGCCCTCCTCTGGACTTGTTCCAACAGTTCCATGTCCTTTTTATGTTGAGGACACCAGAACTGTACACAGTACTCCAGGTGAGGTCTCACAAGAGCAAAGTAGAGGGGCAGGATCACCTTTCATGATGAAAGATAAGCAGCATCTGACAGAACTAGTGTTTACCTTACCCTAATAAATCAAGAATTTACAACTACATTTTTAATACTTTGATTTCTGTTATTCTGATTAACTCTGTTACCTCAATAACAAAAACAAATGAATGCACTATTGCATGATAAATTTCAGGTGGAGCATTTTAATGGAAAAATAACCTTTTTAAATACTTAGTGATTTCTTATGAAAAGATAGACATGTTTAATTAAATGCCAGAAATGGATTTTCAGTATCAGTTCTTCAACCTCAAATCTGATTGTAACATGGTAATTATTTCTAATCAATTTTCTAAATATTTTCTAATAAATTTATAAACTAGTCAAGTCGCACATCGAACAACTCAGGAAAACATCAAGAAAATAATAAATGGAAGGGCTTAAGAGTTGAATTTGGGGAAAGAATTGTGTTCCAAAGTTTTCTCATGAAAGACAAAAGGTTTTTTTCTGCTAGTTCAATTCATTTATGCAGTTGTTGTTTGTTTTTTTTTTATTAATCGATCATGACAGTTCTATAGTATAGTATTGATTACGTTAGACATGTACACATTTAAAGTCTTCAATTAGTTCAAGAAAATGCAGATAGGCCAAAAATTTGCTATGCTTCAGAGGAAGAATGTTCAATTGCATTTAGCAGGAAAATCACCAGTAAAGTACTTTTATCTAACCACAGTTTTTAAGTAACCAAAGGGTGAATGGCGACAATAGCTTAAGAGAATCCTTATATCAGAAAGAACAGAATCCCAAAGGCATGACTTCCTCAAGTAGTACATTGTGCATGATAGAACCATACTGTCAGCTACGCACCCCAGTTTTAGTGAAATTGCAGGATTTAAAAATTTGGAGCACTGGTTACATAA